AGGTAAAATCTCTTCAAAAATTCACAAAAGGCGTACAACAACCTGAATATATAATCGCATAACCTTTACTTTTCAGTACCAGACAAAATAGACAAAAATCTGATCCTGTCTTTTGTGTGCTTTCTTAATCGTTGCCATGGAGAGCCTAATTCGCATAAAACTATCACAAATTAAAATGTTTATCCATAGTTAATATAATAATAGTTAAGTACAGTTTACAACATGAGCGGCCGTGTTGTATGAGAATTACAATCTCTGAGTTTAGTCGCTATTAGGCATGCGCAATTTACTGCAACACAGGACATTTTGAATAATTATCCATACCACATGGAAAGCAAGCCATCTGTTGCATAAGCGAGTTCTGTTATCCGTCTTTRRTTGCTTCAAAACCTAGTAAAGGTCTATGATGCGATACTAAAACTGAGACCTTTGCTAGTGTTGGTTTGTCTCAAGGTGACGACCGTGTTGTATTAGATTTACAAGGTCAATCACCTGATTAAATGGATATCCCTTATTGGAGTAATAGCTCATGCATTATTGATAAGTTTTATAATAATAGTTAACATTAACTATGGTTTATCACGCAAGAACTCAAACTGCAAAAATCTGATTAATTGAGCAGAAATAACGTCATTTACATATTTACAAGCGACAGTAATAACAAAACAACCGGCCCTGGAGAGACATGCCGAAAGCACACTGTCACTGTTCGTGTTGATGTTCGTGTTGAATCAATACTGATTTGGGTTTTTCAGTTTCATATTCATTTGTTGACATAAATCTGCGATGAAAGATACTTTTTACTTACAAATTGAGTGTGACGTCATCACCGATCAGGAAGAAAGGAGCCCAGTACTTGGGATCTCTGTACTTGGGATCCCTTTGGCCTTCCTCTGCTCGGATATCTAGCATGGCTTTATGAAGGCTTACAATCGCACTTTCACCACGAGTCAGATAACTGTAAAACTTCAGCATGAAACACAAAGTTATTACGTCGTCGATTGCCCACAATGACGCTACGACAGAACGAGCTCCGGCCGCAAGGAAAGCACGACTAAGTCCAATCATGCCCTCAGCCCTGATCTTACCACGACCACTGTAACAACAGCTTAGCACAACAAGTTGAGCTTTGATTCCGATTTCTTGGACTTCTTTCATCGTCAACAGGTAGTCATCCTCTTCTGGGATTCCTTGTCTTTCTGACGAGACATTTGGTGCCAGCGCTATTTCACCATTGTCAGAGCTCCCGTGTGCAGCAATGTGAATTACAGCTGAGCCTTCTTTCAGTTTTTCTAAAATCGCATCTTTGGTAGCTTGTTCGGCAGTCAGTGTGGTCGACTGTCTAAGCATAGCAGAAAGAAAGCTGACTTCCCTATTTGCTGAAGGCAAACGTTCAAACATTTGTTTCTTTCCTCTGAACATCACCTCTCCGACACTGGGATCGCCTACAATCAACGCTCCTTTTTGGCTATGATGATCCAC